AGACAGCAGACAAACCACTTCACTGTTTAATGAATGTATGCACAACACCAAGCACATCAGAGATTATATTGAATTCCCAGCTCAAGTGGGAATGCTGGCGACAAAATGACCCAGAGAACTGCTGAAGAATCAGCAAGGAAAAAGGTGACTTCTGAAACCAAACATATGAGTTGCCAATATTGGTGTTGCTGTAACATTCTGCTGGAACTATCTACTACTCTGTTTAATGTGGCAAGATTACAAGATCTGAAAGAGGTAAAGGGTAAAACCATGAAGACATCTTTAAAAACTGTTGAGTAGCAGTTGGATTAGAAAACAAAACAAAACAAAAAAAACCCCCCCAAAACTCATTAGAAACAGCCAGGCTTCCCTGAGCTGGTTGATGACTTACTGTGATTCTAAATACACACTGGAAATGGAAAATGTCCATCATTGGGCACATAGCAGATGTGTTTGTCACTATACTTTCAAACCAAAATTCAGCAGTGATGCTAGATGAAAGATTACAGGTAGCTGTTCTTAAGGTACTGATCTTGAGTTTGAATGGTTGTAATTTAGACAATGACCAAAATGAAAACATCTAAATATAATTTGAACACAAGTAGTATTATGATGAATGGGCTGTATATATGCATTGACCAACTTATACAAGCTTTGTGTTTTCAATCCTCTGTCAGTCTTTCAAAGCCCTTCAGTCCCTCCAGTTTTCTCTCCAAGTATACCTCTTCATAGCTTGTACATTTTGGCACATTACGTATTTGAAGGACACAGAAGGGGACTGTTTGAAAACATTGCAAGACTGCTAGAGTTACAATAACAATTTTGCCATAAAATATTAATTAACTTGGTATTAACTGTCCCTACTACATCAGACAACGACAAGAATAAATATTTTGAAAACCCAGAATTTGCTGCTTTTATTTCATATTCAGCTGGAAAACTTAGGTCTTCCTGGGTGAAAAAACCTTACAGCTGCAGACCTTTCAGAAATAAAACAACCCATCACATAAAGAAATGTTTATTTCAGTGGTTGGTAACAAACTCTCAATACATTCAGATTCCAGATTTGTCTTTTAGTGGTCTTGCTGAAATTTTGTGCAATGCTTGAGACCATATGGGTATAAAATATATCAATATATCCCTTATATAAAGTAGTATATATTCTACTGGTAGTTTCTTCCAATATAAGGTACATTGTGTTCATTTGAAGTGGGAAAATACTTAATAAATAGAGCTGATTTGGAGCAGTATTTAGTACAAGAGGTTTATCAGATCCCCATGAAAGTGAACACCTGCTGCAGGCAGTGACCTAGTCCCATGCAGGAGAAGAGGAAGATGAGTGACAACTGAGCTGTGGCTCTCCTGAGAGAACCACAGCAGATTTCCAAACTGAAAGAGTGGAGTTGGGAGAAGGGGGGACTTGAATGTAAGCATGGACATGTGCCAAAAGGCAAGTAACAGCCATGAAATTTTTAATTTAAAAAAAAATCAAATCTTCTACTGAAAAAGAGGCGTGACAGAAAATTGTCAGCCAGCCTAGTCAAAACCAACAATAGCTAAAGCACTTTTGACCCACATGAAAGTGTGGGGGCGATTTTCCCTGGGAGAAGTCTTTCAAGCTGCTGGATCTGATTGCAGGTCCAGAAGGGTTCTGAGAATAACGTAAGGGTTTTTTCAATGGAAACATCTTTTGACATTTTCCCAGGAACAATTTTAGTGGGGCTGTATATTTGTATTATGCTGGTGTTCTTAAGTGTAAGCCTGTAGCTGGTTCTGTTGACCTCCAACCTGCGTTTAAGTGCTTTGCTGGATCAGAACCAGAGCCCTTTCTTACTGCCATCCACTTACTCAGTAAGGTTTCTGCTAAATAATATGCAGGTTGGAACCACCATCTGTTTCCAGTGCAATTACAGACTGATGCCTATACCATTTCTTTGCTTCCTTTTGATTTGCTGGTAAGTTAAATCAGTGATTTGTAGTTGATGTGGGTGATTAGTGCAGTATCGGTAGATTCTGTACTGTGCCCTTTACGCTCGCCTTGCAGCACAAAGAGGGACAGTGATTTGCCTGAAGTCATGAGTTTCAGCGTATTTTTCCAGATGTACTGAAAGCCTCACAGCACTCTAAATGTTTGTAAACCATAACATTCAGCTACAGAAGAGAACAGTATAATGTGTCTTCTGAATTATTTTCCATCTTCTTTGAGACTGAGAACAGTCTCACTGTGAAAGCTATTTTTATATTGTGAGCTTCTTATGGCCAGTATCTGTATTTTGGTTCTATCCTAATCTGCAGGGGTTTTGTTTTTATTTAAATGCTTATGAGTAAAGTAGGCCTTTCAGCAGATTTCTGTTACAGCTTTCTGTTTTACTCGGTAAGCTTAGCCGCAAGGCTGCTGTGTAGCTTTATAATGCTTTCATTTGTTCTCTTGAGGTTAATGCATTTTTACTACAGCAGAAGTGTTTGAGTTGGATGCATTTTGATGAAAAGGGCTGAATTTTTAAGATGGTTGTCATTTTTATTGCTTTTTAAATGAAAGTCAGAAGTCTGAAGCTCCCAGTCCAGATGATGGGTGCATCAAGACAGCAATCAGAAATGTGACTGGAATGCACGTGGGCATGCAGGCTATCTGAAATCTCTTGCAAACTTGGGCATTGATACGTACATGCTTCGATATAGTAAGTGTCACGGGATTAAACATCAACATCCCTGGCCAGCTTGTACAGCTAGTGTCAAAACCTTGTGTCACTACATTTTCAAGGCTACCTGAGTTGGTCACTGGTAAGACAAAGACCTCCAGTATATAAAGGAGACCTTCAGTGCCCTCTCCCTCCTGGAGATCCTTTGTACAAAGTGGGATCAGTGGTTTCTGCCTCTGTTTTATGGACAAGCCCAGCTGGACCTGACAGTACATCTTGCTTTGGTGTCCTCTACTGCTTGCCATTAACTAGGGGCACACCACTTGCAATAACATTGTGAAAGGTAATTAACCAATATCCATAATAGTCCTGAGGTGTTCATTGAAAAGCATAAGGAAAATCATGGTGTTCTCCTAGTGTTCAGACCAAAAATTCACATAATAGAAAAGGTCAGGCAGTTTTCTATGCCTGATAGCAGGTTTTTTTTAATAGGGCACTAGAAGTGTTTGGAATAAATGGTAGACTTTTTAGATGATGTCCAAGCAAGTTGTAATGAGCCAATGCAGAATGCTAGAATCAAAACTCTCACCCATTTGTGAGGTCGATTCCCTCCACTGTTCTTGGGCAGATATTCATCATTTCAGTTTTTCCCACCTCAAAATTTGAACTGCAACATTTACTCACCTCAGGTATACAGATGAAGGATTGTAGAAGTATGAAGTGTATTTTTTTCGTTTTTTAAATATCAGCACACGTCAATCCATGCAGAAAGAATGGTGCAAAAATCATATAGTTACAAGACTGTAAAATGCTTTATCTTTTCTTATTTTAGCTAGTTCCTCTCATGCAAAAAAACCACCAGTCTCCAAGTCCTCTTCTTCACCATCTCCTTCGTCCACATCATCTCATCCCAAAGCCTCTAAAGAGACTTCTAGCAAAGCGGGCACATCAGGGACTCCCAGGGGCAAGAAAAAACCTGGGAAACATTCAGCCCCACGAACAGCACTGGATGGGGCTGCTTCTTCCCCGTCAGGTGCCACAACCAACAGGTTGGAAGCAAAGGCAGAAAAACCCGAGCCTGAGCAACCTTCCATAGTAATTTCTGAAACAGAGGATGCAGACCAACTAAGCAAGTTTGTTGTCCCTCCTCCTCCCACCGCTGCCCCTCCTCCACCTCCGCTTCCACCTTCTTTTCCTGGTGCAGCTGGTCAGCCCGCTGTCTCCTTAGAGGCCCAAGACCTGTCAGATGGCTGCATGGCAGGGCCAGCCACCCCGGGATCAGATACTAAATCTCTTCTCCAGACTGAGCATGGCACAGACCAGAGCCTGAGCAGAACGGCCCTAGACAGTGGTCCAGATGCTAGCAAAGAAGACACAAAAAGGTAAGAAGGTATGGCTGTCATGGATATGTGGTAAGACCCATAGTCAAGGAAGCCACATTTCTTCTGGTAAGGGACACTACAGGTATTTGGGGATCTCTTCTGTTTCTTTCCTCCCTTATGAGGAAAGGCTGAGGGAGCTGGGTCTCCTTAGCTTGGAAAAGAGGAGACTGAGGGGAGACCTCATTAATGTTTACAACTATGTTAAGGGCAAATGTCATGAGGATGGAGCCAGGCTCTTCTCAGTGATGCCCAACGATAGGACAAGGAGCAATGGGTGTGAGCTGGAACACAGGAGGTTCCGCTTAAACTTGAGAAAAAACTACTTTACAGTGAGGGTGCCAGAGCCCTGGAACAGGCTGCCCAGGGAGGTTGTGGAGTCTCCTTCTCTGGAGACATTCAAGACCCGCCTGGACGCCTTCCTGTGTAAAATTGTTTAGGTTCCTGCTCCGGCAGGGGGATTGGACTAGATGATCTTTCAAGGTCCCTTCCAATCCCCAACATTCTGTGATTCTGTGATTCTGCTGACTGGTACCAGTTTTTGTCTTTTTCTTGGGAGGTCAGTGTTGCATCCCATCCCAATTTGTTCTTCGACAATGCCTTTGAGCCATTCACCTGCAGTACCTCATGTTTCCCCAGATGGTCATTGCTCATAACCTGCCTCCTACGTTGTTGCATGGCTTAATGTGACCACTGCAGTCAGCAGTTCAGCTAGTAGCTGATAGCACTTTTATTTCTCTCTCATAAAGGCAAACAAGAAATTATGCTGACTTTTAAGGGGGTTTTACTTTTTTTGTGGGTATTAAATATCTCACTGCTAAAGCTCTCTATTCAATAGCTTAATTTACTTGCAGACTTGAAAATGACAGTTTCAGGCCTCAGTTAGTGGGTGTTTGGTCTGTCACTGCCTAATAGCTTGTCTAAGTCTCAGATACTATAAAATCTAGTCAAGAGCAAGGTCATAATTACATTTTTTAAGCAAAATAGTTGGCAGCAAAAATGAAACTGGCTTATTAATCTGTCTTTTCCCTGCCATGAGAACCAGCATCTTTCATAACAGCCCAAGAGAGTTTTGTCTAGATGACAGTGGCCTAGAGACTTTCCTTTAAATTCTTGCTGGTATCTCTGTGCCAGCATTACGTTCCTGTGCTGCTTCTCCCCTTGCTCTGCCCTTCCTTTACATGTAGATTTTCCCAGGGCAGACAGCACTCTGTTGCTGATTTCCATGTTCATCAGTGATGGACATGAACGTTTTGGACTCCACAGCAGTAAAACTGTATTTACAGTAAATAGAGTTAGGCTTGCAGAACAGGAAGCTTTGCACTCCCATCTGCTCTCTGACTCGCTCCTTTCACCATCAACTTTATGAGCTGGTTTTTTTCTTCTTTTGTGTAGCTTTTATGCGCTATTGGTCCCATCCCACAAGAGATAAGAAAGAAATAGGATTTTTCTGTGTATAGGCTTTGCAGCATGTCATTCCAGGCTGTTTGTATCTTTTTTCCTAACATACATACATACAGATACATACACACATTCACATACTTTCTATATGTTTTATACACGTATGTTTTTTAGAAAGGGAGAAGTTTGTTTGAGTAACAGAACTTTTGTTTTTGTACTTACTTATACAGTCTGCCTTCCATTTGTGTTCTGTGCTGCTTGCATTAATGTGACACCATGCCTGTTTCTGAATTAACAGCTTGGCTACCAAAGAAGACCAAGAAGCGGAGGCACCTGACCAGGCACACTCTGAACTGGTGGAGGAGACTTCTGATGCTGCTGCCCCTCCTGAGAGTGAAAGTAGCCGAGAGAGCCTCAGCAGCGACTCAGACTCTGATGGACCAATACTGTACACAGATGATGATGATGATGACGATGAGGATAATGCAAGTGCTGAAAGTAAGCCCCTGACAAGAAGGGTCCACTGGGAAGGGGTGGCCATCTTTGGGTACATCTAATATACATTTGACCTGGCTGGCTCAGGGAGCCTACTAAGCTGTTGGGATTCCATCCAGATGTTAACTGGAGCTTATTGATTGAGTGCAGCCCAAAGACATCTACACTCAGTGAAATTCTGTGCAGCTGCCTCCATTAAATTGTGACCTTCGGGAGAGCAAAGACTTTGAGGTGGAGCTGCTAGCAAGGACATCAGCCCATGGGTGATTCTGTTGCAGGATCTAGTTCTCTGGCAGGGCATCCTGCCAAGAAGTTGCAGGCTACCTTTGCACGTGGCGTTAGGTGAGCATACCTGACCCATGCTAGTGCAAAGTAAAGAGAAGAGAATACGGCTGCATTGGATGGTTTTAGATTATTATTATTTTACCACTACTGAGAAATTAGTGTCCTGCTTCCCTCAGACAGCTGTGATCAGAAACCTGCTGGGCCCCATGCAATGGTGGGAGCAGGTCAAACGTTGCACATATGGGAGCGGAGGTGAGAGGTGCAGGTTCAGGAGAACATGGGGATGGAACAAGGCCTCCATGTTTGGTTGTCAGCAAGTCATTGATTTGGTTTGCCCATGTCATGAACCTCTGTTATTAAAGCACCCATGTGGCTTTCAACTGAATTGCAGTAGAAATCCCAGAGTTCCTTGTGTAAGTAACGGGCAGGGGTGGACAACTGAGGAGACCTATCAGTCAGCAGCTTCACTGTCTGAAAGTCATTTGTTCCTCTTTGATCAGGCTATTTCCAAGCATGGGAGCACCTTAACAGACAGAGCAGATCACAGTGTATTACTTCTAAGTTTACAGCTTTGACATTTCATCTGGGGTCATGGCTGTATCATCACCATATATCCTCTGACAGAAGTCCTTGCTGCTGCTGAAGAGGGTTGTGCTGCTCACCCTCTGCCTCATCCCTCTCCCAACTGTTCCTTTTTCCCTTAGGCCAGCGCTCATGTTTGGTTTTGCAGTGGTGGCTGATTTTCAGTAGAATTGGTTCCCTGATCCAGCTCACCACGTGGTTGTACCTTTGCTGGAGTAACGGAGGTCGCAGCAACAAGCTGTCAGGGGTAGAGAGGAGGGCATCCCTACTCCTACCACCTGCAGGGTGGCCTTATATCAGAATAAAATGACCATCAAACCATGGCTTTAGAGCCTTGCCCACAGCTGTTCAGGAGGAGGTGCTTTGCTGTGATTAATGAAGGAGGCCTGAACACGAAAGTGTTGTGTACTGAAGGGAGGTGAGGGAAAATTAACATTTTTTGCCTTGAACACTGGTGCAGCAGAAAGTGAATTGCCAGCTCACTCAAGACACTGAAGTCTTCTCCAGTTCTGCATTTGGTCTGAGTATGATGCAAAGTGGTAGGAACCAAAAATTCATGTATTCACACAGCAGCACGGTGTCTTAAGTGAGCTGGGAGCCCGTGGTCTTATCACACTGTAATGTCATGAAAACCTGCCAACCTTGGACATATGTAACATCCTCGGTCAGAATATCAGGAGACAAGGGAAGGACTAAAGGCCATGAAAAATACTCTTCCTTCCACAGCTGGCTGCTAAATTGCATGGCCCTTGTCCCTGCTGTGTCTGTTTTATGGATAAACAGATTGCTTCATTGCCTGGGGGTTCCTGCCTAGGCTACTTTACAAGCACTCAGAGCACTTTTCTATTTTTTTTTTTGTTTTAATTTACAAATTAGTCAAAGATGGTAAGCATTATACAAGAACTAAGTGGTATTAGATTGAAAAAAAAAAAAATTGAAAGAATGACAGAAAAGATGAGAGAACAAGACTAAACCATTTAAGGCTGGAGAAAAAGAGCAACAGGCTGCTAAATAAATGAACCTGTAATGTATCAGACTTCAAAGACACTTAAGTGTAGGTTTGTCATTTTTATCCTATCACTTCACAGATGACAAGTGATGTTTGTAAAACTTCTCTATGAATTTAGCTGATAGCTTTTTCATCTTTTTATTGTTGTGAACTGAGCTAAAACTATTTTTCTTTTAATGTTTGTTAGTTAAAATTCCTCTCCTGCATGTGGGAACAAGGCTGCTTTGGGGCAGTATTAAAATTCTTACTCAGAGTTATCTGTAACCTAAGCATGACTGAACTAAATCTACCCTCCTTCTCCTTTCCTCAGGCTCTTTGGCAAGTAAAATTCGTCGCAGGGATACTCTTGCTATCAAACTTGGCAACAGACCATCTAAGAAAGAATTAGAAGACAAAAACATCTTGCAGCGTACATCTGAAGAGGAGAGGCAGGAAATCAGACATCAGATTGGAACGAAGCTCGTGAGGTATCAGTGGCAGAGTAAATGTGGATTCACTGGGCGGAGGGGGAGGAAGAGAATCGAGAACACCGGGTTCCTGTTTTAAATGCAGCCCAGTGTGTGGTGCAGGATCTTTGTGGTAGAACTGCCTGGGAAACAGTATTTTTATTTTTCAAAAAACTTTAAAATGTCAGTGATGCATTTTTGTTCTGCAAGAAATAAATCCAAGTGCTTCTGGGGTTTTGGGTTGTTTGGGTTTTTTTTTTTTAAAAGAGGAAGATAATAAGAGTGACTCCAGAATAATCAGTGCCATGGTTCAAGCTTTTTCTCACATTGGTTAGCAGGGACTTGCACTTGTATATCCCCATCTCAGATAGAGTAGTAGTTCCTGAAACACAGAGCATGCCTGTGCATGTTTGTCCCTCCTGGCCCTCCCCATCCTCTTCCTGCTCTCTTCATTATTCATGTGCTGGTTCCAGCAAAAGGAATGGAGGGAGGCTGACTTTGTAGGTCAGTGTTTAGTGTTTTATTGTGCTCACCTCCGGGGCATGTCTTTCTTATGCTGTTTAACTGCTGTGGGTTATATGTTCCTTTCTTTTCCCAGACTTGAGAACATTGCTTAAAAAAGACTAATTTTCACCTGCATTTTTACAAACTTAAAAAAATCCTCATAAATGTTAATTTTGGCTTTCATGGACTCTGAGGATAGACTACAACATGTCTGGATTTTCCCAGATCTGTCCTTGTTTCTCTTGTGCTCAGAAATGTTGTCCAGGCAGATTTAGAGGATATCCTGTGTTTGTTGGAGATTTCCAATTACTGGGTAGTCCAGCCAGTACTGCTCCAGTACAGAGTACAGCAGTCCTGCATCAGCACTTGGAAGATGAGCCGAGTTGCTCTCTGAATTGGGTGGCTGGCTAACTCATTTATTTCATCCCTTAGCCATAAGAATGATACATCTATTGTGTAGAGCACAAGGGTCATTTTTCTTCTGCTAATAAAATGGCATGGTTGTTATCACCGCTTTCCTGACTAAATCCCAGATCCCTGCTCGTTGGTGCTCCCTCAGGGGCTTGAACTGCAGAAGCCGCTCCAGTCCGTCTCTGGAGCTCTATGCAGGGACCTTGCTGGTTCTACTGGGAAGCTGGCATGCTCCCTATGCAGTTCTGCTTTGGTGGCAGGAGACAACATCCGTGTGTGTCAGGGCAAATTTAAATTTGCTGGTACACTTTCTGTAATATAATGCAAGTATTAGTTGTTTATGTGTTCAAGTGGCAATAGTGCATCTTTTAAAACAAATGGCCACTCTGTGCTGTGGTCACATGCACAGTTATTATAACTGTGTCTGGAAATTACCTGTGTTGTTGAATACCTCTGCTGGCAAAGAGTACTGTGACCATATGAGAAACACCTTTTAAGCTCTATTACAAATCATAATATGTTATTTGGATCTGGTTTTAAATCAGTCACTTACTTTGTTCTCACAGGAGGCTTAGCCAGAGGCCTACAACTGAAGAGCTAGAACAAAGAAATATCCTAAAGCGTAAGTATTTTATTCAGGTTTCAGCCAGTATTTACTTAGAAAGTGAACATATGTTGGATTAATATGGAAACCTGTCATTGTTGCTCTAGTGTTAGAGCTATAACTGGAGAGAAATTATGTTCTAGGAAATAACTTGTCAACACTAGATCTATATACTAACCTGTAATGGTAGCTGTGAAAATTGTATATATTCCGAGATGCTGAATTTTGCTTGTCTCAATCCCACTCCTTGAAGCTGGTCCCAGGAATGACTTAGATACCCCTTAGAGGTAATTCCAGGCTAGTTAAACTTCAACCAATTGGGAGGAGGAGGAGGAGGGAATATCAGTAAGAGGCAGAAGTGGGATATAAAGGCAGGGGTTGGAAGGTGGAGTAGAAAGAGGAAAAGTGAAGCATGCAGGGGAAGGTGAATAGGTATATGCTGACTACTTGTTGCGTGAAAGGGGTGGTAAGGCAATTTAACAGGAAATAAACCCCCTTGCATTCCAACTTACCCTCAGATATTAGAGGAGCTGGGGGCGGCTGGGCTTAGATCCTGAGCAATGCCCAGTTGAGCACTACGAGTCCGACAACAGCAGATTCGCTCAATAGTGCGCTGCTCTCCCATACCCACGATTCATGGACTCACACGGCTAAACCTGCAGCATTTAGCAGCGTCCCTTTGGGCACGGGGGTGGGTTGGTGTGGCTGGTCACAGACAGACCCAGTTCGATGTGGCACTACAAGTCCGGGTACACTAATGCTGGATTCACTCAATGGTGCCCTGCACCTGCCGTCCAGTCACCATCTCTGGACTCTCGAGGCCTCATCAGGCAGCACCCAGTGAGAGATCGTGCAGCACCTCAATAAGTGAATAAGGCATTTTAATAGAGCAACGGGAATAATACAGGTTCGCGTGGGTTGCTGGTGACAATCTGCTGTCTGCAGGGGTACATACAAGCAGTAAGGTTACAAATTACTGAAAAGCACTAAGTTAAATAAGCAATTCTATCAAGATCTCTAAGTTTCCGAGAGAGTTCTCGGGGCAATATAAATCTTACCCAAAGGTGTCCCTACGGGGGAGGGAAGAGAAGCTCAGCCCATTGGCTGGTCCCAGAGGTCTGCGATGGTATCTTCCCTGACTTGTCCGTGATTGTATCTTCCCTAACATCCCCCCTTCTTTGGGCTACTTTTATATTATTTTTTACCTTCAAGGTGGAGCTTGAGTGACTCTAGTCATACCTTTACTGTGATTGGTAAAAACACTTCCGTTTGCCTTTCAAGGTAGAAGTTACCAAAACTTAGAGCGTATGGGTGGTCAGTGAGCTGGGGGTATGTTTTGTGTTTTTATAATTCAAGGTTCACACATGGGAGGTATTTGTCTAAGGGGTGCCAGGTGGTCAGTCCAGGGCCATAAGCAGATAGCGTATCAGCCCCTTGATGCCTGTGCCATCTCTTCTGCAGTGCTTACAGGGCTTGGCTGAGGAGTCTTCACTCCTCCTCACCCCCCCATATTGATATGCAGCAACCTTGGAGGATTCTTCGCATACCAGTTGCATTTTTCCCCTGGGATCTTCTTCGACATTATACCTTTCCCTATTGTGTGAACAAGGGCATTTTCTGATTTTTAAGTTACTACCAGTAGTTATTCCACACTACTTCAGAATGCTGCCTCTCATATGCACTTCTGACATCTGTGCTGAAATTTGCATGAGACATTCTCATTGAATATCTTCCCATCGATTAAATCCTTCTTCAGTATCTTTCTTGAAAAATTTAAGTCTATAATTCAAATAGTCAGAGGCAGAGGAATGAAGTACATTGGATATTTACCCTCTATACCTATTCTCCCATTTACTTGTTCTTAGTCTGGCAAACACTTCAGAACAGGCATTTTTTGTCTTCTTTATTAATCTTTCCATAATACGGATGTTACTTAAACACATACTGTAACAGTTGTCATGCCCAGCTCCTATAGCCCTGTTTCCATGCTGCAAGGGTAGCTAGTACTTGATGCTTAAGTAGAAGAAATAAATTAAGAAAATGCACATGGAAGCATTTCACACACAGCAACAAATGCAAAACCTCATCTATTCTTAAGGTATAAGAACTTCCCACATTTCATGTAACTGAAAGAGCGGGTATAATGCCATTGTTTCCGACAGTCATTCAGAAAAGTTGGAGTTCGTCTGTGCAACCCTGGTGCACAGCATGCTAACCCAAACCATTCTATGATTCTGTGATTCTAATGAAATAAAAGAAAATGGACTGTTTACCCAACAAAGTTCATGGACTGATCACTCTGTCACCTGCTCAGGCCAGCAAATCAAGGAGACATAGCAATTATAGGCTTTCAGGCAGCCATCTGTGCTAATGAAATCCTTCTGCTGTTGTCTGAGCTCTCAAAAGCCAAATAGTGCCATGTCTTACTGAAAAGGGAAGCTACAGTTCATGCATTATGGTGCACAGGAGAGGGTTCAAGGGACTTCTGTCCAATACATAATATGAACAGACTTTCTAAGACTATAATTTCTGAACCTACAGATTGCATATGTAAGTAAAGATAAAAACTGAAAAACGAACGTTTTTTTATATGACAAACCGCTCATGCTGGACTATGTGAGAAGGGTGATTCCAGAGCATCTTTGGTGGGCCAGGATACAGCCACTGAGCTGGGAGCACCAGCTGGGCTTCCTTACTGCCCTGTCTGTCTGGCTAATCTCTAGATAACTGATCTAGCAACAAACCTGCAACATATTTAATACCCCTTTTGCCATTGTTTATTCCGTTCACTGGTTTTGCAATAAGTAGCTCAAGACTGGAGAGCAGTTAATAGATTTCTTCTCCTGTTTCAGCTTGTTTACTTTAAGCTTTTGGCAGGGTACCAGGCTTTGCACTCAATACCTCCCGCCCTCCTCCCCTGCTGCTGCCGGGGGGCTGTCTTAAAGAGGCGAGGGAGAGCAAGAAATGAAGGCTGGGAAGCAGCATTATAAATCACAAAAAACTTGCAGCGTCACTGGCGAGCACGTGGAGAATCCAAAACTGCTTTTTGCTCATTATCAAGATAAAAAATATTTTGAGTTGACGGGGATCTGTAAAAAGCAAAGCAAACCAAGGCAGGCCGGGGTGTGTGGTGATGGTCTTACTCAGAGCCCTCTTAGGGTGCAGGTGCTCTCTCAGCTCTAAGGCAGATGTATTATCAAAATTACTACATTCCCTTCCTGTGGATCATTCGAAAATGTTTACATCTCTTAAATGCCTTCCTTGTTGTAGGCAGCTTTTGTGAACAAGTTGGAATTTCTTTCATAAAGCTTCCTTCCTCCTATTTTTAAGCAGTGGATGTGGAGAAGGGGTTATATTATTGCGTGTATGTAAACTGCAGCTAAGGGAAAGTATGGTTTTGAGTAATATTTATCAGACTTCGAGGTTACATTAAGTGGTAAAGGTCTAAATGTTTATTTCAGGATTAAGTTCAGCCCAAATCTTTTAAGAGGTTCAGAAAAAGTCACTATTTTTTCTTTTTTTATATTTCCAGTTAGTGAGGAAATCTGTCTTGCAAGAAGTTTTGTTTTGATAATATTTCCAGATAAACCAGTTACTGAAAATCCTGTGACCAAGTACAGTCGCAACACATTGCAGACGGATTTCTATAAAGACAATTTGTATAAAACTATCCAGACCTCTGAGTCTTCCCACACTAAAACAATTATGATAACTCAAGAGTCCACTTGAAGGAATAGATAAAGCCCTGTGTTTCTAATAAAGACAGGTTTCTTGTGTACTGACTTTGAGCCGGTAGTATTTATAGTTTTGCATTATGGCGAAGAAACTTTTTATTCTTCCAGGAATTTTGGATTAAGATAACTGTATTTTTTCCTGTATTTGTAAGGGACAGTGAACTTCTTGTACTGTGCACCTGCATGCCTGCCAGCACTGGCTTTGTAGAAAATAGGGTTTAGCTCTTGATGCTAGTTAAGGAATATTAATGGTTATCTTTGCTTGTAAAACCAGGAAAGAGAAGCCTCTTTGTGCGTTCCAGAGCACTGCAAGAGGCAAGCGCTTTGTTTGTCTTTTCTTTCTCTTTC